AAAAGATTGAGGACCCGATGCCGTTTGTTTATGAGGATGACAGTGATGATGAGGCCTGTTGTACAATGATGGATTAGTGGAATTATGGCTATAATTGCGTTGGATATACGTAGAATATCAGTCATTCATTTCTACGAATTGCATGCATTCACTGCGTGATCTGAGACAGTCGACAATGTCTCTCTTTGACCTCATCTTAACATCATCTGATCAAGTGACAAGCCATTAGTCAGCACCACTCCTACGTCATTGACACATCTCGGCTATTGCTCTTTATCCCATCATCTTCAATATGACTCAACCAGACAAAGACAACAACAACAACGGCCGCGTCGTCGGCGACTTGACCTGCCAATCGGATTCTTACCGCAAGATCCTCGAGACAGAAGTTCTCTCGTGCGAAAAGGCGCCCAAGCATGCACACAAGGCAAAGAAGCACAATGGGCATTCTCACCATCACGATGAGTGGTTGATTGAGTGCGCCGACTCTGTTCTGTTCCCTGAAGGTAAACCACTGCATTTCTTATACCAGATAAAAATTAACTCATGTTTTAGGCGGCGGTCAACCTTCGGACCATGGCACAATCACCCCGCTATCAGGCGACCAAACTCCCATCCCCATCAAAAACGTCCAGCGCCAAGGCCTCCGCTGCATCATCTACTCCCCCAAACCTCTCTCCCCGGGCGACAAGATCCGCCAGGAAGTCGACTGGCAGCGGAGATGGGATCACATGCAGCAACACACAGGTCAGCACCTGCTGTCCGCTGTAATGATGAAGCGCCACGAGCTCAAGACGCTTGGTTGGGGTATGGGCGCGGAGGGCAGTATGAATTATGTCGACCTGCAGAGGAAGCCCACGGATGAGGAGATGCAGGCTATTCAGAGGGAGTGCGCTGAGTTTATCCGGGATAGTCTGCCGATTAAGGTTGAGACACCGGATGATGCCAAGCATGATAAACTCCCTGGTGATTATGACAAGTCTGATGGTGTTGTTCGCGTTATTCACATTGGGGATCTTGATACAAACACGTATGTACTGTGCGCCCAACTTGTGCGTCTACTGACCAGCTTCAGATGCTGTGGAACTCATCTTTCTCAAACGTCGCACATCTCACTCATCATCCTCGGCTCGACACAATCGGTGCATGGCAAAAACTGTCGCCTTTCTTTCATGGCAGGTGACCGCGCCATCACCCTCGCCAACTCCTCTGTCAGCGCCATCAACACCATCGCCAAACTCACATCATCCAGCAACGTCCCCAGCGAAGTCGTCACGCGCGTTACCTCTCTCTCCGACAATGTCACCGACTTGAAGCGCTCTGAGAGAAAGCTCCTCCTCGAAGTCGCCAAGTTTGAAAGCGAGCAGGCGATTCGGATCATTGTGCAGAACAGGATGAACGCTTATATCCATCGGTATGATGGGAATACGGATTTTATCAATAAGATTGTTGGTGAGACTAGGGATGTTTTGCAGGGGACGGGGTTTGTTGTTGTGATTGCCATTGGAGAGCCAAAGGGTAGTGGGCCGGTTGTGATTGTGGGTGATCAAGTAGCTGTTGATGCGATGGCGCAGAAGGTCAAGGCTGTTGTGAAGGACATCAAGGGAGGAGGTGCTGGGGGGAAGTGGCAGGGTAAGGTGAAGGAGTGGACTAGTGCTGAGTTGCATGCTCTGAAGGAGACTGTTGAGACTTGATCCTCTCAATCTCTGATCAGCATGGGGTTATTTGTTTAAAGATGTATGAAATTTCAGTGTTTTATCCTAGAATACAAGTAGACCAAGCCCATCCAAACCAACTTGTTCAAACCTCTGAGCGCTTACGCCAAAAAACTACTTACCATCTCCGCCCAGTAACGAACTTTACCATCGTCCAAAATCAAATCAGTTCCAACGCCTTCCTGTTCGCAACCCTATTTAACTGAACCCTTCTCCTCTTAGGCCTCATTTGCGTCTGCTGAAACGCCTTCCGAACATGCCTTACATCAACCGGCGGCCTCTCAGGATCCAGCGGTACAAAAAGCCCATATCGTCTCTCCCCAAGCGGCGCAGACTGGTCCGTCTTTCTTCGCTGAGCTGTTAACTCATTGTCCTGGATCGACAGTGCCATGTCTGTCAACTTCTTGACCATCTCAACTGCCAGGAAGCCTGTGATTTCTAGGATATCTTCTTTCTTCTTTGGCTCTGCGATGACACTTATGCCAGCCCACTTGCGGAATCGCTCTTTCTTGCGAGATGTGAAGGACGCATGTCGATAGTCAGCGTACTTGGCGTACTCCTCTGCTGTCATGTTCTTCGTTATCTCATCCGCCCAGCGGAGTCTCTCGAGAGAATCCTTGCTTGACTCATTGAGAAGAGTTTCGTTACTCGCGCCGCCGGGTGGTTGAACTGCGAAGAAGAAATCCACATCCCAGGGAAGCAGAGCAGCTGCAGTCTCTGTCCTCTTCTTCTTTGAGAAACAATCCACGATGGAACTACCGAGGACATCTTCAATATCCTCCGCGTCGTCAAAGTCCATTTCTCCGCTGTCGTTGCTCTTCTTGTTAGCTGCTCTGCGGATGGCGCGCCAGCGGATGAGGGTTTGTACGCGGGCGAGTTGAGATCGGTCGTGGCGGATCTGGAAGATGATGTCGTTGATGGAGAAGGATCGTTGTCCACGACGGGCCGCGAGGTCATTGGCGGTGGTTAACTATAGTTGTTAGTGGTGGACGAAAAGTGTTGGGCGAACGGACGAGATGGATGACCTGGTTGCGAACGATCTCCTCGATGAGAGTCAGAGTCTCGATTGAAGCGTCCTGTTTTTCGCCAGCGCAAAACATCATCTGTAATTGTTAGAAGAAAGACTTGAGGATGGACGGAGATGCTTACCTGCTGGATCTCGGCGCTGTACTTGGGTTCGAATCTAGCCATGATGGGCAAGTTGGCTGTGTTTGTGTCACGATTCTACTCAGCTGAGCAGTCATATATCAATTATCTCATGTCAAGAGCGCTTTATCGCAGCGCAGTCTGTCTGTGATTAGTCGTCAGAATCGAGAATTACAGTGACGCAGGAGGGTAACAAGTGAGGACTGTGAAAGACTGTCGGACTGTGTCAGAGGGTCATTCTTTGACAGTTATGTAGGGGAAGCACTAGTCTAAATCTCTCAGGGGCATTCTTCATTATTCGTACATGATAAATTGCAATTCAAATTCTCAGGGTTGATCATGGTGGTTCTTTGTTCGTGGCAGTAGTGACGAGATTACAAACATCGTGGCTGGGAGCGTTGACCATCTGAACAAAGGAACCACCACACTCTCACGCCGCAGCTGCTCTATTGAACGTGTCAATCCGAGAGACAGTCTTTTCAATTCCACCGGGTTTTGCGCAATGGTCTTGATCATTTATGATGCGATGCGGCTTCGGCTAGACCCTGGTCCTTTCAGTAAGGCAGCTTTGTTGCAAGTCGGATGGACCATTTGATATAAGCATTGGATAGTACCTATTCTTCGTATCGCTTGCTCACTAGAGCGAAAGAACTGGGCTCAAATCTTGTGGAAGGTATTCAGCAGTATATATGCTTTGATACCAAATCACCCAGACTCCGATACCTTCTCTGGCTTGCGCTTCCCCGCCTCCGGCCCAAGGTCATGATCTGACATTAAATAAACCGCATCCTTCTCAACACCCTCAGTCTCCAGCTTCTTCCTCTTCTCATAGTACCACCTTCTATTCTCCTAAAGCTTCACCTCTGACTTCTCACGATGTCCCTCCTCCAGCGGCGGGGGCAATATCCCAGCTAAAGGCTTGTACCACTGCTCCTCGGGTGTTTTATTCCCATCAACCCCGCGAAATACCTTCTCGTATTCTTCATTGTAGGGAACACGGTCGAGTATGGCTTTTATGAGCGCGGGAGAGAACGGGACGGCGTCTACGACTTCACGGTCGGCTGTGAGAGAGCGGTAGATGCCGTCTGAGCCGAGTTGTGAGATGCCCATGAGAGTAGGGTCTTGTTTCATTGTGCGCATAATCACTCCAAGTTCTTTCTGTGCGGGGTTCAAGTCTTTGTATTCCACACGTTCGCTGTTGGGAGGGGGGCTGCACATGCCCATATTGTCGCTGTTTGGTTGTTGTGCCATGGTGTTTTTGAGGTTAGATGATGTAAAGTGAAGTTCTGTGAGTAGAATGTCTCTGGTTCTGGAATGTGTACAAAGTCCAAACTATTATAGAAAGTCGTAAGCAGCATGTGATGAATCCATGGTTCTAGCACGTGGTCTTTTTCAAGGGGACCAGGTAGATCAATGACTGCCTAGTACCAACACCGTCAGCGAACGGCACATCATACGCTGAACCAGTGCTTTAATGGCTGACAATGCCCCGAGGGGGTTGAGAATAGGCATCACCGCGGTTTTGGAGATGGGATTGCTGAATGTGACGTCAAGTGTGACGACTCATGACCAGCAATTGTCGCAAATGCACCACAAGTTTCTTATTCTCTTCCATGACAGTATTTGAACTGATAAATAACTGATAAAGTTTATTCTCATGACTAGAGTCCACATTTCTTTCCCGCTGCCCTACCGTGTCTTGTAGAAACGTGACGGAAGTTTTATGGAATGATCACCACTTCGCCCTGCTGCGGTGACATACTGTAAGCTTACAGACATTTCGTCCTTTCTTGGAGTGCCCTGTGTGTATTCTAGATAGCCTTTGCTCAAATACCTGCACGAGTTGGGACAGGTCAATTGCCAGGCCAGTTTGCGCAACGGAGTTAAGAGAATGTCCAAGACAAGCTGTAACTCCTACAACCAAGAGAATTCTGTTTATCTCTTTTTTTTCTGAGCGGGACCCAAAACCTAATTCAATTGAAACTCTAGATTCTATCAAGAGGACAGCTTCATCGACCGAATGCTTCTCTATACGGACTTGGCAATGTTTCATCGGTCTAACATGCTATGACATTATCATCCCAAAAAGACAAACGAATATAGGTATTTCTCAGTCAGTATAGTGGCATCAAACAGCTTGGTACTGTGNNATGACATCTCGTTAACACCGAGAAGGTCCCCGGTTCGAGCCCGGGCAGAACCTCATTTTTTGGAATAATCCGCTACACTAACATGTGGAAGGGAATTGTGGGTTTTTTCCATCTGTGTAACTGTAATCTATCTCGCCGAGATATTGAAATAAAGTTATTTAATCATATGTTCCTCCTAGTTCGCCGTTCTGAGCCAAGAATTGGGATTGGGAATGTTTCTTTGCTTCAGAGCTTGGAGCATAACTTTTATAGGTGAGTTGTCTGCAGCTTTATTAACCTGCATTCGAGTTTTCCTTGGAAGCTCAAGGCGGAAGGAAGTCCTTTCTTATTGTTCGAGATGTGATCTTGTACAATTTTTGCTACGGATCTCGAAATCCATTGCCGCTCCGGGGATGCCATCAAGATAGTTTATGTCAAAATCTGCAGGTTGAAACAGGCCACGCTTGCATTGTACTCAATAAGAAATCTGATAGATATTGTATTGTCGACGAGCTTCTATGCCTTGAGGCCCATCAGCCGAGACTAACAAAAGCGTGGAAACGGGGCAGAATCCATAACAGTCGCTTAGATACGTGTTAGACTCGGTGACAGGTCATGGGGAAGATAACTTGACCATTGACGGGTCTGCTGCGCACAAAATGGCTTTCGTCCAGCTTCTTGGTCCTTTGGAAGAACACGGGCAGACTAGAAGCCATATTGTCGTCTAGTGATGTGAGTGTGTGTGCTCCAACGAGACATGTGGCATTAAGGTGACAGGACCATTACATTTTGTGAATCCTGACCGCTGTACCGATGCAAGAATGGCTCTTCTTCGAAAAACGGTCACTCACAAATGGTCGGAAGATATCTGACTAGCAAGCTAATAATGGTTCTTTTGCTCTGAAATACACACAATCTGATGGTGAGGAAGAAGAATCTTTCGAGTTATACCTACAGTCAACTGCTAGCTCAATGCCATTTAATTGGCTTCTCTCGGCGTCTCCTATAGCGTTGTGGTTGAGAAGGCGGGCCAAGCCCGAGTTATCAAGTCCGTCTTCATATAAGGCTGGACCAACTCACTTGGTACATAGAGGCGATACTGTCACGGTGAAGCAGCTTTTTCTCATGAATGAATGGGAAGAGGTTGCCGGGTGGTCCTATTCAGATCATGCAATTGGGTCGTTGAAGTGAGACTAGTCTTCACCATTGATGAGACGGAGAACAACGAGACCTCTCAGCTGTGAGATGTGTTTGAGGCAATGATCCGGTATCGGTGATTGAAATGAATCAAGCTATAGTGGCGGAATAACCAGTCACTGACAAATGTTCCAAACCTGCCAAAGACTGTTTGTACTAAGGAGGATTTAATTTCACCCCCATGGTAGCGCTTTTTGACGTGATAAGGTTAGAGTTTAGGATCACAGAGATGACGTGACATTCATCATTTCCATGACATCAGTCACACGGATTGCCTAACTTAGCTACAGTAACACACCCAGTGACGTTGTCGTGACTGTCCAATCATGGTTCTCAAAGTTTAAAATAGAGTCTGAAATAAAGTTATTACAACATCAGATCAGTCACGTTTTGGTAGAGTTCGTAAAGTATGATGACCGTAGCGAAAATGATATTATGCAAGAAATGCTACTAAATACAAGGATATAATATGCTCTTTTGGGTTATGTACTATCTCGCTCCCCCTGTGCGAAAACAATTTTTGAAATGCAACGTCCGTCTAATCGTTACGTGCCGGCAGGCCGGCTGCTTCTATAGTGTACGTGTGGTCGTCTATAGTTCATGTGTTGTGTTGTGTTGTGTTGTGTTGTGTGGTTGTGGTTGTAGTCGTTTAAGAAGAAGCCTCCTCATCAGTGACACCCTCACGAGCACCCTTGGAGGTGTTGTTGGGGATCCACTTGGAAGAGGTGATGGGGTTGACCTTCTGGACATACATGGTGTCAATCTCCTCGAGGCTGCGGTCCTTGGACTCGATGACGAAGAAGAAGACAATGGCGACGAGGGCGGCACAGCATCCGGCGTAGACGAGACCGTAGAAGTAGTCAATGGCATCAGTGATGAAGCGAGTGCTGTGAATTGTTAGTGAATTGTTCATGCAGGTGTGGAGAAATCAAGGTGACTTACAAGAAACCGATGAGGAAGTTGAAGAGCCAGTTGGTAGCAGTGGCGAGAGCCATGCAGCGACTGCGGTGTTGAGAGGGGTACATCTCAGCGACGACGGCCCAGACAAGAGGACCCCAGGTGGTAGCGAAGGCGACAATGGCCAAGCAGGAGAAGGTAACGAGGACGGTACCGGCAGCGGGGGTGTTGAGAGGGTTCTCACGGTCGAGAGCAAAGTGGCCGACGAAGGCGTAGATGAAGAAGCACATCATCATCCAAGCAGCTCCAATCATGAGAGACTTTCTACGGCCACACTTCTGGACAACGTAGAGACCACCGAAGGTACAGAAACAGTTGACAGAGCCGAGAATGAGCTGAGTGACGTAGCTGTCCTTAAGACCGGTGGAAGCAAAGACAGTGGTACCGAAGTAAAAGAAGAAGTTGATACCAGTGAGCTGCTGACCAGCCTGGAGAACAACACCGAGGAGGGTACGGTAGAGCATGCGCTCGCCAGTGAAGATCTCAATAAGGCGGGTCTTGGGAAGAGCGTGCTCTTCGTCGAGCTTCTCCTTGATGTCGTTGATCTGTCGGTTAACACTGGGGGAGTTGATGTCGAGACCGGCAAGGTTGGCGATGGTCTTTCGGGCCTCTTCCTCCTTACCCTTTCGGTAGGCAAATCGAGGAGACTCGGGAAGGAAGAGGATGCCAACACCGAGGAGAAGAGCCCAGAGGAAGTTGAGGCCGTTGGGGATTCTCCAGGAAGCACTGCCGGCGTAGTCGTTGGTTCCCCAGTTGACCATTTCGGCACACCAGATACCGAGGGTAACAAAGAGCTGGTAGCAAGAGACGATGAGGCCTCGGATAATGGCAGGAGCACTCTCGGACTGGTACATGGGGACGGCGACAGAGAGAGCACCGACTCCAAGACCTGTAACCAATCGACCAATAGCGTGTTGGTACCAAGCGTGTTCGGAAGCAACCTCAATAACAGTTCCGATACAAGTCGACAGGGCGGAAACGGAGATGGTCATGCGACGACCAATGGTATCACAGAGATTACCGGCGACAAGAGAGCCGAAAAGGCAGCCAATTGAGAGAAGACCGGTAATTGTTCCTTGTCGGGCGGCGCTGAAGTTGTAAGTGCCATCACCGTTGGGTTCACCGAATCGCTCGCCGTAATCCTTCATCATGAAATAACCCGAGATCTGTCCACTAGAGTATCCGAAGATCATGCCTCCCATCTACTAATGCGTTAGTTTTGATCCAATTCGAAGCTAGAGATCACTTACGGAGGCGACGAGGCCCATGAAGCAGGCCAAGACGGTGATGCGACCATCGGTGTCGGGGGAGGTCTTGCGCTCGAGATGCTCGCCTTCGCCAGCATGCTCGGTGCGTTTACTGCTAAAAAACTTCATATTGAAGAAGTAAACAATGTGTTTATCAGGCCAATTGACCAATTGATGTTGTGAGATGTGTGTGTTGGAGTTGTGTACACAAGATGTGATGGTGAGCCAGAAGCAAAGATTGAGCAGCGCAGAGGGTCTTTTTGACTGTCTTAATTGTGGAGATGATCGTCAAAGTCCATCGCGGGCACCGAGAGAAGCAAGAACCATGCCAATGGGTCCTCCACATCTCATGACCTTTGATGGTCATGCTTGAGCAAAAACTCAAACCCCGGGGGGGCTCCAGGGAAACGACTTGCGGAGACTTGACGTGGGTGAGAGAAAGAAAGTCTAAAGACTTGGAGTAAGAGTGGGTAGAAGGCCCGGAGAGTGGCTATCCACAGTCACGTCATGGGGTATGTTGAGGAAGAGGGTTCGTGAAAGCGTGAGTAAGCACTGGCGTCTTGGTATCTTATCACGCCGTTTGCGACCGGTAGAGCACACGATACACGCCCCGTGGGCTGATTGGGGCCCTTCCGGAGGTGCCCTGGCTGACCTTAATCCAGATTCATCTCCGTCTTGAAAACGGTGGACCGATGGGAAAGTCGACGTGGGGTGACAATTTTTTCTTTCCGTCTTGGTATTTTTACTGCCGGCGTCTTCGGCATTGATGACGCACATTGACCCTGAGTGAGCCCACTATGGTCCACTCTTTTGTTCCTTGGGCCCAGTTTTTGCTTCTCTTCGCCTTCTGACCTCATCTCTTGGCGTGAAGATCTTCGGCAGAGCGTGCGTTGACGGGACATTACAGCGACCCTTTAGACACAATCGGTACAACCAACAGACAACCAAAAGAGAGCTGAAGTCTAGTGCATTGCTTAATGGGATTTACTGTAATTGTTTACCTCCCTCTTGCACGATTTTTTTCCCATCTCGAAACTGACACTAGTCAGCATCTCATATTTCCGGTTCTCGCCTTGTCCGCAGAGCCCCATTTCCATATGATATGACACCGAGAAGCGCCGATCGGACCGACTGCTGATTGGAACGTTCGGGCACGCGCAAAGTTTTTTATTTCCGTATCCCAGATCTTTGGTGTTCTTTTTCTCGCAATTGTGGCCAAAAAAGAAGCCATGATGTTATTGTCACGGCATTTGTCTCCCGCCGGATACCAGATCTGATCTGATTTCTTTGGCGGTATTTCCGACAGAACCACTGCGGCGCATTTACTCTTAGTTTTCTTGTTTCAACGTCAAGGGTCACACACAACAGCTCATTCTCAGTCAATGGTGTAAACTCGGCCAAATGTGTCGAGTTGTTATCCGCCGTTTGAGAACTCGCCGAATTGAAGCGGAGCCACGCTCAGCGATAACAGCTCCATATTGGTGAGTCTCTGGGCCAAATACATCACCAAAGGTAACATTACGGTGCTCGGTCATTTTTGGGTCCATGATAAGCCTTGGAAAGTCAATTGGAACAGAGCACAGGTTTTAGAACAGGGCATTGCATGCGAGATAACGCCGAACCAGCATTATCATTATTACTTGCGATAATCCAAGAATGGCAGGTAAGACAAA